CAGCTCAAGCAAGGTTGTTTTCCGCATGGATTGAATGAATAATTTATGTAAATTAATTCTTAGCTAATTATTTGAAAACAAATATTGGAAAATGTTGATTTTGAATTTAAGAATAATAAAAATGAATTTAATTAAAATGAAAAAAGAAATTAGCAAAGTAAAGAAAACAAAGGAAAATGTTTTGAAAACCAGATTGTAAAAGCCTAGGGTTCCGCCATCCCCTTGACAATCCTATGTAGATTTATTAATTACTTATGAATTACCCATGCAACTTTGAAGGTTAGGTTTTCCTAATGCATATTCTACTCGTGGTATTCAAGCTACAGCGTATATCAAACATGCAATATGTCCGTGGTATTCAAATCAAATATAAACATTCATGACTCATTAAGCTTTGTGAAAACCCTTTGAAAAACCATGCAACCCGTAAGACGTGGTATTCATCTTAGGTGAAATTACAAATATTAATCACAAGAAACAATACTTAATTTCCCGGTGGTATTCCGATTGAATTGCATCCGATTACTTATTTAAACATCCTAATGGTAACTAAACATTAAGATATAGAGACAATTTAAAGCACAGTGATTAATAATTCAAAGCATGCATGCATAATATCATAAGCAATTAAATAAAAACTACGTATTCATGCTAAGGCTCAAGACATCACCCTAACAAACGAAAATTAGCTACTAGCAACCATAAAACAAAAGGAATTTATTGAAATAGAAAAATGATAGAAAACACCTTCAAAATACAAAGCGTCAAAGCCTAGCTAAATTCTCCACGTACGTTCTCCACCTCTCTTCTAATGGCTAAAAAGTCTTATTTATATTACTAGAAAATAAAACCCTACCTTGAAAAAGGTTTTAGAATAAAATTAGGAAACATAATTAAATGATAAAACAGAAAATAAAAGGTTTCCTATTTGAACTAGAATTCAAAGTTCTCAGAAAATCATATTTTGACCAACCAAATCAACTCCGATTTGGTCCCAAAATGTCTCTTTTGAAAGATAAATACGTCTTCTACAAATCATCAGAAGGAATCTTCCTCAAAATATGCCATCTTGACCTCCAAAATACTCAAAATGTCTAAAAACGTCAATCTGAAAAAGCTGCACGCTGAGCCTTTTATTTCATCGCCATGGTCAAACGGTTTGGTAGAAAAATCTGGGATTTTGATACAATCATCTTGAAAGACTCACGAACATCTTTCAATTGGAATCACTCCAAAATTCATCTGTTTGAATACTTTTTGCTCCAGAGGAAGTCGAATGTCCTACATTGAAAATATATAACAAATTATCAAAATTCTACCAAAATAACTAATAAATTAATACTAAGATTAGGGTAAAATATATGATATAATATGAACTCATCGATAGCTAAGCTACCTCCAAAATTCTATCACATTATGGTTGCTTTCAATGCTATAAATAACTCGTTTTTCATACTTAAAGAAATAAGAACCTAAGAAGTTAGCTTCTTTACGAAGATAGCTTCTCTATCTTCACTGTTATGTCTTAAAGCATAACTATAGCTTTTTCGGAGGAAACATGTCTTGGCACTTTGCCTGTAGCCTATAAACTTATCGAGTTCTCATGGCTATGACAACACCACTTTCAGTTGTTACACCTTGAAGTCAAAACATTATTCTTCTATGTACTTCCCTTCGTGGAAGTACTTGTCATTACCTTGCTTCCCTTTGTGGGAGTAGTTATTTTTCCTTCTCTCAATGTTGTTTTATTTTGTTAATCATAGTGATGCAAACTCTGCTTCTTTCCTTGTGGGCAATTAACAGTGAAAACATGCCTTTTTGCACACACTAACATTTTTATTATGGACAAGTTTGGAAAGGGATCCTTTTCTGATCCTTTCTTTCTAATCCACCAAATCAAGGATCCGGACTATTGAAATTTGATCAAACGGCTAAAGTTATTATAACTTTTAAAGTGGGCACTATTGTAGCCGTTGGATCAATTTTCAATGGTCCGGATTCTCTGATTTGTTGGATTATCCCTTTCCAACAAGTTATGTTACAATCAACATGGTTGTTAGGTTCTGAATCAAATTAATTTGCAATGGCCAATATTTGCATATACATGTACTGGTAATTAGAATTCAAAGAATGAGAGATTAAGATTAATTTACATAAAAAATTAAAAGATCCTAAATTTAATAGAGAGAATTAAAAATATTGTACAAACCAAAAAAATAAGAACATGAGGTAAAGACTAAGCAAGAAAATTTTAAAAATACAAGTTAAAGCTAAAGAAAAGTTGATAGAAAAAAGGGGAAGTGAAGATTCCCCGTAATAAGAGGGATGGAGAGTAAAGTGAGGCTTGGGCTGGGACGAAAAAGAATTTGAATTGAAAACACTCTTAAGTTTTAAGAGTATGAGACTGATATGCAACAACATCTATCAGAGTAACAGCAACTAGTCCCATTCTACCATGTACTGGTTGTTAGGTTTTGAATCAAATTAATTTGCAATGGCCAATATTTGCATATACATGTACTGGTTTATGCAAAACTAGAAACCAAACCATTCTACCATGAAAAAGAAAACCATTGCAAAAACATGCAAGATGGAATAAAACTTCAGGAAGAAAACACAACCCTTATGACCAAGCATGAATATGTCACGACAGCATATTGTTCTCAAACAAACATAACAATCAAACCATAAACTTGTCTTGAAGATTATTGGAGAAATAAGGGCTAAGTGCTACATTAAATCACCTAGAAAATCAAGAAATAATTCATGCAATTATATATCCAAGTAATGTATGCATATGAGTAAGCGATGTAAAATGAATATGATATAATTGATTAGAAAAGCATGTATGTACGCTTGAGGATGTTGGACATTCTATCCTTAAAATAAGTTTACGCTCCACTACAGTGTTCATAGTTGATCGGCGCTTGTCTCCTAGAATACAACGATAGTGGTCCCTTTAATAGTAGCCCTCCGAATCACAAGGCTCCAAAGAAATGACTCACGATTATGTTGAAAACTCTCATATGGACTCAATGATACTCTCTATATTTGGTGCATTCTATGCATGCTTATGTAAACAATGCAAAGTTCTTTAATAATTAAAGGGGGCTTTCATATTATAAAATTTGAGATACCTCTTTGGAAAACATGTAACTATTCATGAACAATCAAAAGTTGTAATTCTTGCAACTTCCTATTTATAGAATTTGAGATCATATTTGAAAGACATGTGACAATTGATGGAGAGTCAAAAATTGCCACGTAATGTTAGGGTTTAGTAGTATTCACTTAGTGCTACGATCTAGTGGTATTCATCTTCACTGGTAAGTGAGAGGTTTTAGATTCGATTCTCATTATAGGCTAATTTAAACTACATTATTACTAGTCCATTGTGAGAATTAGCTCATTTCTCTTAATGTAAATAATATCATTTATTAAAAAAAAAATTTAATTCTTCATTTAAATAGGCACATCATTCATCAAAAGACACCAATTCTAATTGTCATTCAATTAATAAATTTAATACTGTAATAATAATAACTTAAATTTTCCAACCAAGAGCAATGAGCAGCAGCTCCCAAAACCAAAGATAAAGTTTTTCCCTGTCACACTTCTCAACAACAACATAAACAGCCCTTTTCTTTCTCCTCTTTTAAGGCACCGAAAGGAGAGGAAGAAAGGAATATTATTTATTTTCACCAAATGGTTTGCGGCTTTTGCTTTCTTTCTCTCCCTTTCCAAATGGGAGTGTCGGCGACTCTCCCCACCGAAAAAAGCCATCAAATGCCTTGGATAATATGTATTGCTGCCACTTAGTCCGGACCTGGATTCTCTCCGAGAAAAACCTTTGAGATCTTGCTGAGCGAGAAACACGGGTTGTTGAATTTCAATTCAACAGCTATAAACAGAGGGAGTCCTTCTTAAAATTATAATAATTGTAGCCGTTGAATCCAATGGCCCATGTTTGTCACTTAGCAGGATCCCGAGGGTTTGCCTTGGAGAGGATCCAGTTCCCAATCCTAAAGCCACACAATTCGAAACACACTCCCGACTTTAGAGCAAAAGATGCACCGTTGTCCTCCAACGCTCCAAAGACGACATCAGTCAATGGATCAAAAGATGCACCGTTCTGATAACAGAGTTATAAAAAGTAAGTTTATAAACACGTATCAACACTTAGAGTTAGAATTTTATATAACAAGAGCTTCTGACATACATAGATAATTAGAATTCAAAGCATGAGGGATTAGATTAATTTGCATAAAAAATTAAAAGATCCTAAATTTAATAGAGAGAATTAAAAATATTGTACGAACCAAAAAATCAGAACATGAGGTAAAGACTAAGCAAGAAAAATTTTAAAATATAAGTGAAAGCTAAAGAAAAGTTGACAGAAAAAAGGAGAAGTGAAGATTGCTATGTAATAAGAGGGATGGAGAGTAAAGTGAGGCTTGGCCTAGGACGAAAAAGAATTTGGATTGAAAACACTTTTAAGTTTTAAGCGTATGAGACTGATATGCAACAACATCTATTAGAGTAACAACAACTAGTCCCATAATGGCTCCATCCATATGCGTTGGTTAATAATTGAAACCACAGAAAAACCACGTTAATTGAACAAAGATATTATATAATAATAATGTGGCACTGCTCTCTCTCTTCTATTTAAAAAAAAAATGTACACAAGACATATGCTAGGAGGTTGATTGTATGCCCTTATGTTTGAGTGTCTTTCTCATCCCTTCCTATTTGTGTGATCACAGTTAAGTCACGTCAACATTTTATATTCCCATTACTTTTTGTCTTATTATCTTTATAAAAAAAATTAATATAAAATGTTAACGTAACTTAACTGTGATCACACAAAATAAAAGAAAATGAGAAGGACACCAAACAGGAGGGCAGACTATCTGCCTCCCATAAGCTAGTTTAAATTTTAGGAAAACCATGAAATGAAAATACGCAACTTTCAAAATAACAGCATAAAGGCTAAAGCGACCGAGATACGCATTTATTATATAATAAAGTAATTCACAGAGAAGCAAATGCTGCCCAGCCTCTCCTCCATTTGATTAGCTGCTTGTTTTACAAGATCAATTTCCTCCCGGAGACACCAGCAATAAACGATTTGATGGATCTAAGTTTCGGCGGAAGTTCCTCCTTTTCCGGCGATTCTGGTTGTCGATACATATACGACGTATTCTTGAGTTTCAGAGGTGAAGACACTCGGGACAATTTTGGCCGCCACCTCTATGCTGCTTTGGAGAAAGAAGGCCTTGTAATCTTCCTAGACGGGGATGAAGTTGAGAGAGGAGAAGTTATCAGTCGGGGGGTGCGGAAAGCCATCCACAAGTCCCGATGCTCGATCGTTGTGTTTACAGAATGCTACGCATCTTCCAGATGGTGCCTTGACGACCTCGTAATGATCCTTGAAAGCACGAGGACCTCCGGCCAATTTGTCTTACCAGTCTTCAACGGAGTGGACCCTTATGATGTGCTGATGCAGACAGGAAGTGTAGCGAAAGCATTTGCTAGGCACGATGTAAGAGAACGGTTGGACAAGGTGAAGGGATGGAGGGCGGCACTAACAGAGGCTGCAAATTTAGGAGGGATGATCGTGCAAAGTGAAGCTGATGGGTAACTACAATTCAACTTCTTGTCCATTTTGGTGATTTTTTTTTTACATCATTTTTGTGCAGACATATATGGAAATTGAAAATTAAAACTTTTTAGAAGTGATTGCACGTTTCTTTTGCATTTCATTGCATCATTTGAACAAGAATTATAAGTTATTCATATAGTTATCGTTATTGTTCAAACGTATTTATTAGGTCACCTCCATAGGACTTTATAACATGTTTGACTGCAATTTTCTAGGAACGCAAGCAAGTTTATCGAAAATCTTGTTGCAATCACTACAGCAAGACTACGACGACGTCACCCTTTGTGGTACATCCCGTACCTTGTTGGAATAGATTCGCATCTCAAAGACGTTAATTCATGGCTACAAGATGAATACTCTGACATTGGCATGCTTGTAATTCATGGGATGAGTGGAATAGGGAAGACAACTATTGCACGGCATTTTTATAGATTGAACGCGGCACGATTTGATGAATGCAGTTTCCTTGAAAATATAAGAGAAACTTCAAAAAAACCCACTGGCTTAGTTCATATACAACAAAAACTTCTCTATGATATTTGTGGCAGAATAGTGAAAATCCACAATGTTAGTGAGGGAATAGTTCAGCTTAGAGATGCCATAAAATCTGAAAGAGTTTTTGTTGTTCTCGATGGTTTGGAAGGTATGCATGAATTTGATGCTGTAATAAATGGGTTGAAAGACGCATTGTTTGGAAGTAAAATCATCATAACAACTACAAATGCAAGGGTGTTAAGGGCTGCTCAGAAATTCGGTTGTAAGGTATGTACTGTTGGAGTTTTGAACTACAGTGACTCGTTGGAGCTTTTCTGTTGGCATGCTTTTGATCAATGCCATCCAATTGAAGAACGTTACATGGAACAGTCAAAAAGGATAGTACAACACTGCGGAGGGCTTCCATTAGCTCTTACTATTCTCGGTTCTGCACTATCTGGGCAAAGTATAGATGCATGGGAAAGCACATTGAATCAACAGCAAATTTTTCCACATTATTCAACCATGGAAAGACTCAAAAGAAGCATCTATTCTTTAACGGATGATCATGACCGAGCACTATTCCTCCATATTGCCTGTTTCTTTATTGGAATGGACAGAGATTACGTTGTTAGAATACTTGATGGGTGTGACTTCCACACAATTGTTGGCATGGAAAATCTCATTGAAAAATGCTTGCTAACAACTGATAGAGATAATAAGTTGTATGTGCATCCCATATTTCGTGACACGGGAAGAGAAATAGTACGCCACGAGAATTGGGAGCCTTGGGGACGTAGTAGACTGTGGCATGATGCAGATTCTTTTCGAGTATTGACCAAAAAATTTGTAAGAACCATGCTGCCTTTAGATACGTGATTATATTTTTTTTCTTTTTTATGCATACCTGTTTGTAGTTATCCAAATTTTTTTCTATTTTATTAGGGCACGACAAACAATCCAGGCTTTTCCAACGGCATTAAAGGCATTTCCTTCAACATGCATATGTACTCAAAAAGCAGTTCCTCAGATTCAAATGTCGCGGTCTTTGAAAGCAATGCATTTAGAAGGATGGGTAATCTACAGCTACTCCGACTTAGTCATGTAGAGCTCAATGGATGTTATGCTGAACTTCCTAAAGGATTAAGATGGTTGTGTTGGCTTGAATTTCCTTTGTATTCTATACCTGATGATCTTGCTTTGGACCGTCTGGTGGTTCTCGAAATGCAGTATAGCAGCTTGAGACAAGTCTGGAAGGGGAGAAAGGTATTTTACTCTACACTTGTAGTTTCATTTTTACGGATTATTCATGATTAACTCTCAGCGTGCTTTCATTTTTGTTTTTATTTCTCACACCTTCTTTTCTTTCCCACAGAATCTTCCATCATTGAAGATCCTTGATGTCAGCCATTCCCATGACCTTACTGAAGTCGCCGACTTGTCGCTAGTCCCCAACCTAGAGAGACTGATTCTTAAAGATTGTGAGAGCCTTGTTGGTATCCATGAGTCTATTGGAAAGTTAGAGAAACTTGTTTACTTTAACATAAAAGATTGCAAAAGTATTCAGAAGTTTCCTAAGAGCATGCCAAAAAACCTTGAAACACTTATAACACATGGTTGCTCAAATCTTGAGGAGTTTAGAATTATGCAGATGAGGATGATGGTACATCTGAAAGCTCTTGACGCAGATGAAGCTCACATTAGTGGATTAGTTTATGGGGCGCAAAAATCAGGGCTCACTTTGTGGGACCATACGAGGTTCACTAAAAATATAAAGCTCAGAGTTCATGTAAACCTTACTCATTTGTTGCGCGGGTGTGAGAAGTTTATGAAGCTAATTATACAGCAGTATCTGGATGCTGCTAACAATCAGAACAAAGATTTGGGGGAGCAAAATCTAAAGCTGATTTCTTCAGAAATGGTAAGTCTGCATAAATTATGCAAGGTTGCGGACTCTTATTCTGCTGGCACCGCATGCAGAGACCTTATTTCGTGCCAGGGTTCTAAGATAGTGGAGGATGTGAATTTGGGAGAAAAGGCTGGGCGTGAAATAGAGGTTGCAGATGTAGAAGATGAGGGTTTAACTGAATCTCTGAAATCCTTATTATTTCTATATTGTTCCCTCTTTCCATTAGATTATGAATTTAAGAAATATGAGTTGGTGCAGTTATGGATAGCTGAAGGCTTTCTTGGAGAGAGGCATAGAGAGAGAATGGAGGATACCGGTATTTTGTATTTCAATTCCATGGAGAGTGAAGGCTTTTTTGTGCCTTCAAGAAGTGATTTCAGTGTGGATTTTGATTCAGTGTTCTCACTGCCCATTTATAATCCCAGCAACTTCTTGTACAAGATTAATACAATCAAGCTTTCAGTTTTGGAAAAAAGAATTTACCAGGATGGTTATTTCAGAGCTGTGGATGGTAAGTTAGATGGAGCTTCAGAAATGACACAACATTTGTCTGTGATTTTTCAAAATATGGATGAGATAGGTTTTGGGGTTCTCCAAAAGTTTCAGCGTCTTCGCACGCTGCTTTTGTTCTCTGGTAGCAGGTCTTCCATTAAACAAGTTCCTCGTAATCTGTTTTTGGGCTTAAAGTTCTTGAGGACGTTGAATTTGAGTGGAACTCTCATCTCTGAATTACCAAGTTCCATTCGAAATGTCAAAGCATTGCGCTATCTTGATGTCTCTCACACACCCATTAGACAGTTGCCCGAAGCAATCGATTCTCTTCACAATTTACAGACCATAAAACTCAGAGGTTGTGTAAATTTTGTTCAGTTACCGAAGGGCATCAAGAAGCTAACCAACCTACGCCATATCGAACTTGATATCATTCGGCAATTGGATTCCTTGCCTGCATACTTGGGAAACTTGACTAACCTGCAGACTCTGTCAGCATTTCTCATCGGTAGGGATCAAGGGTGCCATATTGGAGAGCTGAAGAATTTGAATCATCTCAAAGGAACACTTCGCATTTCAAGGCTCGAAAATGTGTTGACTAAGGAAGAGGCTGAGGAAGCTTCTTTGAGTATGAAGAAATCCCTCCAGAGCGTGGAGCTCCGGTGGAGTAGTCTGTTGGTTGAGAATGTACGGGAAGAAGAGAAAATCCTTGAATGTCTACAACCCCATTATGGCCTTCAAGAGCTAGAAATTCAAAACTATGGTGGCTCAATTCTTCCAGCTTGGATTAGCAATCCGGCTTTTGCAGACCTTCTTGTTGTTACTCTTTACAGATGCAAAAATTGTGAACTTCTCCCATCTTTGGGACAGTTACCAGCGCTTAAGTTTCTCTCCATTATTGAAATGAATGAGGTGAAGGAAATTCATCATCAGTTATTCAGAAATGACCAAGTTGCTCAAGGCTTCCCTGCATTTCCTAAACTTGAGAGGCTAGAAATTGATATCATGCTTAATTTGAAACAGTGGACGGCGATAAAACAAGGTGATTTACCGTCTCTACTTAAACTCACGGTGGACTCTTGCCCAGAATTTGTCACTCTTCCTTCACTTTCAGAACTAAAATCCCTCAAGCATCTGGAGTTCAGACGCTGCCCAAAGCTTCTGCCCTTGCCCCACGATGGACTCCCTACTTCACTTGAGTCTTTAATAATTATACGTTGTCCTGAACTGAAAGAATGGTGCACGAAGGGGGGAGGTGAAGATCAGGAAAACATATGGCATGTGCCTAGCGTATGGTTGGATCATGAAGAGGTATGTAAAAGAAAACTGAAACTTTTTTACTGCTGTTCAGTTCATCTGAAAAGATGAAACAAAAAATTAGTAGTTACCACCCAAAAAAAAAAAAGGTAGTTCCCATTTTCTTAATTGTTTGTTCTTGCTCTGGTTGGAATAATCTTTTACTGCTGTATTTTAGCTTGTTCCAACAAAATTACTCTTACGCATTCAGCACTCTTGTTTTTGTTTTCATTTTCAATCCTTAGCATAGTTTTTGGAAATTGCACCTAAAATTTTAAGTGATTACTATGGCTGGTGGAGCGATTTGGTGATAAAAGTGAATATTTTTACACTTCTGGCTTTATATACATAGGAAAATCTTATCTTGCCTGGTTGCCAAATTGTGAATCTGGATCATAATCAGTTCGTATCAGAATCATGGTACGATACTTAACATAATCATTTCTGTCTAACAAAATACATGACTCTTGCACTTAATGGTTAACTCTCCCCCCTTGTTGTACAGTATGGATTTGTTGTTGATAATGTCAATATTTGCATCCATACTACTGATGGTGTACAGATAGGATGCTGATACATTTTGTTTTTTACTTGTTCTACCAATGTTATCAATTTTTTTATCGACAGTCCTTCCTTTACTAATGAACATTTTTGTAAATGCAGTTACCGCTTACAAAGTACTGTTAGCAATACCTGTTGCAGTTGCATTTGTGAAAGAAGTTTTTCAAAAGTCAAGTTTATTAAAATCCTACTTGCGAACCATGTCTCACGTTATATGCTAAATGGTCTTAACTTTGATATATGTTGAAAGTGATTTTCTGGATTGATTTGATTGCAAGCGTTTAATTAATTATTTTTGCAGCTAAAAATGGAAGGAGAACAATCTTTCAGTGACGCTTGAAGGGCTGGTTGCTTGTAAAATGATTCTTGAAGTGTTGGTGGTGATATGTTGGAGCTAGAGCCTTCGTTTCACTAGTTGGGTCGCCGTTTATGGGGTTTGTTATGTGTATTATGCTGTTTCAATTTGCTGAGTGCAGTTTGTTTTATATTTTGATTTTTGTGGTTTGAGTTGTTGCTGCTTCTTTTGCTGCATCATTGTTCATAACTTCATACAATCGCAAGCATGTAATTAGTATTTAGGCTTATTTTTTGCGATGACATATTTGACGAGCCAAAATCCTAACAATCTCCACCTTGGTGAGTCAAACCAACTCTTGATTGTTGCACCCCAGAGTATCTTTGAACCTTCTTGAAGCAGCTTTGGAAATCTTCAAGAGTCTTCACCTTGGCAATCTTCTTCTTGCCTCATTGCACCTCAAGTGAGGAGGTGCTACACTTTAATCAATCAGCAATGCTTGAACTTCTTGGCCAGCACTATCTTTGTAAGGAAATCTGCGGCATTGTCACCCGTATAAATCTTTTCAATCCAAATTTCCTTAGACTTTACCCAATCTCTGATTCTGTAATACCTTGCTTCAATGTGCTTTGATCTTCCAGAAAAAAACCTGGCTCTTTGCCAAGTGAATGGCACTTTGACTATCACACTTAACCTTCACACAATCTTGAGTGATTCCCATTTGACTTACCAAGCCATTAAGTCAAATCGCTTCCTTTCCAGCTTTGGCCAATGCTATATACTTTGCCTCTGTGGTCGACAAAGCTGTAATTGGTTGCAGTAGTGCCCTCCAACTGATTGGTCCTCTTATGCATGTAAACACATAACCAGAAGTTGACATTCTCTTGTCCAAGTCCCTGCATAATCGGCATCCGCATATCCTAACACCCTTGCACTTTCCTTTTGCCTCTCAAACATAATCCTTTGTCTCCAAGAACCCTTCAAATAACGCAAAATCCACTTTACTGCATCCCAATGTTGCTTTCCTGGATTTGCCATGTATCTGGAAACGACACTGATTGCTTGAGCTATGTCGGGACGTGTGCATACCATTGCATACATGAGGCAGCCCACGACATTAGTATAAGGCACCTTCTTCATTACTTGTTGCTCTTCCTCAGACGTAGGACACTGTTGCCCACTTAACTTGAAGTGAGCCGCCAAAAGAGTCAAAACTACCTTTGTGTCTTGCATGTTGAACTTCTCAAGAACCTTCTGAATATACTTGGCTTGTGATATCTAGATCATTCCAGCGGTCCTATCTCTCTGAATTTCCATGCCAAGGATCTTTTGTGCAGCACCTAGATCCTTCATATCGAACTCCTTCAACATCTTTTTCAAGTCTTGAATTCTAGACTTGTCTTGACAAGCAATTAGCATGTCATCAACATATAGCAATAGCAATATGATCATCCACACATAGCAATAGCAATATGATCATCCCATCTTGGAACACATGATGGTACACATATAAACATTTTCTAAAATTGATTTTCAGCATGAATGAATCAAACCTCTTGTACCATTGTCTTGGAGACTGTTTCAGGCCATACAGGGACTTCCTTAGTTGACATACTAGGTTCTCTTTCCCATATTCAACAAACCCTTCTGGTTGAGCCATGTAAATCGTCTCCTCTAGATCCACAGGAAGAAATGTTATCTTCACATCCATCTGCTCAATCTCCATGTCATGCTAAGCTGCAATTGCTAAAAGCAATATGATAGAGTATGCTTGACTACAGGGGAAAAAATCTCATCATAATCCACCCATTCCTTTTGTGAGCACCCCTTAGCCACGAGCCTCGCTTTGAATCTCACATCATCTTGTTCATGTAGTCTTTCCTTTTTCCTAAATACCCACTTGCATCTAACTAGCTTTCTGTCTTTGGGCTTAGGAACTAACTCCCAAATAGAGTTCTTGTAAAAAGACTCCATTTCTTATGTCATATCACTTATCCAACTATCTTGGTCATCACTTGCTATAGCTTCTCGATAAGTAGTTAGATCTCCTTAACTAATGTTAAGAGCATAATTAACTTCGTCTTGGTCAAACCCAAACTTGTCAGGTTTCTTTTTGTTTCGCTTAGGTTTGTCCAGTGTTATGCATCTCTAGAATGCAGGTGGATTGTTGGTTGCAGTTCGAACCCTTTGGGATGTTTGGTGAATTGAAGTGTCTTCAATTTGTCCTGTTTCTTGCTCCACTTGGTTCCTAATTGGTGTCTTCCTCAAAACCATCAGATTCAGCCCCTTGCTCGATTTGCTCCACCTGAGCTTCTTCATCTGAACTGATTAATGGAATCTTTGTTGCTTCAATTTCAGTATCGTTCGTATTCTCCCTACTACTCTGGACTTTATTTAGAGGCATGGATGTCTTATCAAAGACAACATCTTGACTAACAACCTTTTTCTTGTTGTTGAAATCCCAAAGCTTGAAACCCTTAACTCATTTTCTTAAAACCTAAGAATATGCAATTTGTAGACTTCAGTTTGAGCTTGGACCTTTCATCATTTGGAATATGTGCGTAAGCACTACAGCCAAACACCCTGAGCTTGGAATAGTCCACCGGCTTCTCAGACCATACCTCTTCTGCACTCTTAAAATCAAGAACTGTAGATGGTGACCTATTAATCAAATAACTTGCATCATTAACAGCCTCTGCCAAAAACCTATTAGGCAATCCTGCATGAAATCGCATACTCCCCTTTCTCTCTCTCTCTCTCTCTCTCTCTCTCTCTCTCTCTCTCCATGAAAGTTCAGTTCATCATCTCAGCAGCTCCATTTTGTTGGGGATTCTTCTTTACTGTGAAGTGCCTTATGATGCCTTCCTGCTTGTAGTAATCGGTGAACTCATTAGTTGTATATTCACCTCCATTGTCATTTCTCAGGTACTTGATCTTTCTTCCAGTTTAATTCTCGATTTCTGTTTTCCATTCCTTGAACTTTGCAAAAACCTCGGATTTCTGCTTCATGAAATAAACCCAAACCTTCCTAGAAAAATCATCCATGAAAGTAACAAAATACCTGGCTCCACCATTTGATTTAGTTGGTGCAAGGCCCCAAACATCTGAGTGAATATAGTTGAGTTGCTCATTGCTTCGGTTATCTGCACTGCTAGTTGCAAATGATATTTTTCTTTGCTTTCCGAGAACACAGTATTCACAGAAGTCCAGTTTGCAAGATGACATGCCTTCCAACAAGCCTTGTTTGTGTAATTCTTGTAACCCTTTTTGGCTTATGTACCTGAGCATATGATACCAGAGTTCAGTCTTGTCTTTTACACTCTAATTTACAGAAACAGTTGCTCCCCCGACTATAGTGATCCCAATTAACTTATAAAACTTACTGGGTTGTAGGTCACCCTGCATTACCACTAGCAATCTTTTGGTTACCCTAAGTCTTCCTTTTATAGACTTGTACCCATAACCGGCCTCATCTAAAGTACCCAAGGAAATCAAATTCTTTCTTAGTCTAGGAACATGCATGACGTTCCCTAAAGCTCGTATCATCTCATCGAACATTCTGATTCGACCAGTGCCAATTCCTCTTATAGGACATGAAGAATCGTCCTTCATTAAGACTTTCCCACTGCTGACTTCCTTGTAAGTATCGAACCACTCTCTTACTGCACACATATGAAATATGCATTCGGTAACCAAAATCCAATTTATGCAAGCCTTGGAGCCCGATGTTACTGAAAGAAGCTCCCCATCACTCTTATGCTCGGTGACTGCACTAGCTGAACCTGAGCTTCCTTCCATCTTGGCTTTCTTCTCTTTCCAAATCTTGTAGTTCTTTTTCCAATGATTGGCTGAACAACATTCGAAGTAACCTTCCTTCTTTTTCTTTTTCTTCTTGGATTTTGACCTACCTCTGTTGCCGATTTTCTTTTCCCTTGTCTTTTCCCGCCCTACTCTCCTTGCCTTTGGCATAAAGGCCTTGAGAGCTTTCAGTTATATCATCTAGTTTAGCATATGATTGAAGAGCTTGAATTACGTCTTCAAGCTTCAGGGACTATTTTCCAAACATTAAAGTTGTTCGAAAGTGCTTGAAAAACGAAGGTAGAGACCTCAGCAAGATGATAGCCATATCATCGTCTTTGTAAGTTTCTTTGACCTTTTGAAAATTAGCTATGTAATTCTGGAACCTGCATACGTGATCTTTAATATCACCTCCTTTTTCTAGTCAAAGCCCGAATAGTTCATCCTTTAGAAAACGTTTATTGGACATGGTTTTGCCCATATAAACATTCTCCAACTGTTCCCATGCTTCATAGGCAGTCATCTTTTTGGTGATGTGTAACCGAACTGATCATGTGAGATGGATCTCGATGGAACTCTTGGCCTTCTTAAGAACCTTAGTCTATGATGCCTCTGTCATGTTTTCCGGCTTCTCACCATCGAGTGCATCATCCAAATCCTGCTGTATCAGTACGTTCTTCATCATCACTTACCAGTCCGTGATGTCATCCTTGCCGTCAAAGGGCTTTAAAGCAAGTCCTTGATCCGTATTCATTTTCCCTTTTGACATCGTACAACACCTTGATCCTAGCTCTTGATACCAATTGTTGAAAAACCCGCACACTAGACGTTGTTCTTTAATGTAACCAATGGCAATAGACTAAACTAGCAAATATTAGAAAACTTAGAAACACACAAGAATTATACTGGTTCGGCAGAACTTTTGCTTACGTCCAGTTGTGATTTCTCTAGAGAAATCACCGCTCCCTTGATTAATAATAAATTTTACAAAACTTTTGCAAACCCTAGAACTAATCTCAAAATTCTTGGTTGTCTGGTTGTTTTCTTTCTTTGTAAAAATCAGCCTTGCCGCACCCTATTTATAGACATAGGGTTAGCTTATATGTCCCAAGGCTGATTGAATTCCTATCTCTAAGTGGATTAGGAAATTACACTTATCCAAATCCAAATAGACTTCTAGAAATCCAAACCTAAATTGAATAAGGAAACTGAAATTCTTTCCTAATCCCTCTAGGACAAGAATCGGTATACCTCCAGGTTTCCTAAAACAATCCTAAACCAACTAGGACATATTTGACGAGCCATAATCCTCACACCATTTTACCCTGAACTCTATATTATCTTACTTTAATGGCCCTTTTTAAAATCATTTGATGAAGTAGGGTAAAGTGCAACATTGAGGAAGAGTGTAGGTATTAAAGTGAGAAAGTATAGAGTGTATGGCGGTAAAATGGGCCACGGAAGAAGAGTGCATGTGATAAAATGGGTCAATGTAAAGTGTAGGGTTAAAGTTAGATTCGGTGAAAAGTATAGGTGTGATAACTAAAAGTAAG